ACATTGCTGTAGAGTATAGTGAGTTACAATCTAAATATATTAAATAGACACTCTCTTGATTGGGATCATAGTGTTCACCCATATATCTATTATTTGCTTTAGCGTAACGTGTAGAAATCATACTGACTCCTCCTCTGATTGCACTTTCTATGAACAAATGCATGTCAACATCTTCGAATAATTGTAATTTTATTCCTGTCATTCTAAGACAGGCCTCCCATGTAAGTCCAGGAAGTGAATACATATGTACAGGGTCAAGTTTGTAATCTTTTAAACACAGGTCTCTAAATGTCTCAAACACATCAGCCAGTAGCAATACATCTGTTTTAAGATATAAATCATGATATTCTTGTAAATTATGTATATTAAAATGGGTCCATACATTTTTAGCATGTTCATATTCATTGGGAGAGATATGTTCTTTAGTTATAGAACTGTAAAATGTTTCAATTGGGGGTAGAGACTCTGCGAACTTATCTGGTCCCGTCATATATTCATAGGGATATACACCTTTACGTTGTAGTAGTGGATTTTGTATGAATCTAAATGTGTTCAAATTGGAAGCCAATTTATATAATGGAAGGGACAGAAAGTTGTATGAATCTAAAAATACTAAATCATCAACAGAGAATGATATATATTTTTCCATATCTTTAGCTATACAATTTAATTTATGTTTATTAAACTTTCCCAAGTGTTGCATTATTAAATGTCCATCGTAATTTTTCAAATTATGGAAGAATACTGGTATTTTCTTTGTTACTTTATAGTTTAAATTACAATCATTGTGGGCAGCTCCACGGTATTGGCCAGAGGAATGGCAATGATCTCTCACCCTATCAAAATATAGGGGCTTTTCACAAATATGACAATGTGTTGAGTTTTGGAAAGACACCTCTTGCTCTGGAGTCATTACTAGGGGAATATATATTGCCATTTGACTTTTAATATAATCATAAGTCTGAAATAATCTTTCAAAAAACACATCCATAACATTTGCACCACTGTACAACTCTTCAGAAATAATTTTTGAATCTTTTACTACAACAAATGCAAATCCAGATGGAGTATGTATATTAGAATTTACGAAACATTCAAAATCTGCATAAATTACATATGGGGCTTTTAGTTGATATTTATGATTTTTAAATTGTAATGTATCTTGTTTCGACATTTCCACTCGTTGGGCATCAAAGTTCTTACAATATGTTATATGACGTTCTAATTTATCGCTGGTATAAAAATGTTGCAAACACAACTTGCAAAAATGCTTCTTATTGTTATTTTTTGTAGAGTGGAGCATTAACCTATCGAAATCACGAATTAAACAATAATGTGATTTACGACCTTCTTGTAATAATAATAAATCTATATGAGTATTACTACTATTAAGTTTGGTTGTTCTTAATGGATATACACATTTCTGGTCTTCAACTCCAAAAACATTAACACTTATATTATTCTGTCTTTCGAATTTATCTATATCAGATATTTTTACGGGATATTTTATATTTGTCATATTTAACTGTGTTTCATAGGGTGTATAGTTAGAGACCCTATTAGCACTTTCATTGATACAATTCCTTGGATATAAAGCTGCTAAAATTGACCAAATGAAACATTTATTGTCAAAATTTCTTATATTTAGAACTGCTTTTGTCAATTTAATACTTTTTGGTGTGGGGATATATGACTTTGGAGTTAGGGGCTTATACTTATAAACATGCAGCTGCCAATATTTAGTATGCTCATATATCCATCCACTGCCTTGAGCTTGATATTTGTGAATGGATGCATCAATCTTTAAAAGTGCATTTTCAATTTGAGGCTTTAAATCTCCCTTCTCAATAGTTAAGGTAGTAAGGCTTCTAAAATCTGCAATACATTCTTTTTCATTAACTAATTTTCCATTTTGATCCATTGAATATTTTATAAATTTAATTCTCCTAACTAACGTCCATTTGATTGGCAGAGAACAATACTTAAGAGTGTTTTCAAGGTCAGCTCTAATTGATTCACCAACAAATTTTATCATTGTGTATGGACAATTATTGCAAGAATTGATATGTCTTCTAAAATGTCCAACAACATTTTTCTTACAAAAATTACAAGTCTTGTGACTTTGTAATGTGTGTGACTTTAGAGCCATGTAGCTATCACAGATTAAATCACAAACCTTGCACAGTTTCACATTCATTTGATGCATTACCTTATAATGACGAATCAGGTTGCTTTTGGTGGAGAGCGACACGGAGCAGTGTTGACATGACGGCTTCATGTTTAGGAATGAGGTCTCGGGCTGATGCCACCTCTATATATAGACTTTTCGAAATTTTCAAAATTTTTGAAATTTTTAAAAATTATTACAAAAAAAATTATAATTTGGAAAATTGTAATTTATAAAATTTAACTTTAGAAATTTTAATTTATAAAATTTAACTTTAAAAATTTTAATTTATAAAATTTAACCTTAGAAATTTTAATTTATAAAATGTAACTTTAAACATTTTTTTTAATTAAAAAATTACTTCAACAAAAGGTTTCCCAGCCAGGACTCAATCAAGAGCTACCACTAGAGACAAGGAGCAAGAAGCAGGAGCTTGCCTGTGGCCACGGCAGTGCCTATAGACCGGGAGCGCGCCGTGAGCCGTGAGCACGCCCGAGTTCACGTACAAACCTCGCTCGATTTTGAGAATATACATGTGAATGGGTGTTGGACATGGATTTGAAATTATACAATATAGATATGGAGTTGTACATTTATATAGGCTTGTATAGGCCCCAAGAGCAAGTTTAAGAGGTATATCACAAAATACAAAGAAATGAAAATATTAAACAACTCATACAACTAATATATATAGATAAGACAGAAATATAGACAACAATATATCAACATATCAACTAGAAAGGGGAATGGTAGATGTACTAGCAATTAGGCATGGGCGGAGAGTTGGCCCAAAAACCTCGCGCCCCAAAAACGGCAGCGACAAACTATACTACTATACACCGCTGGAGATGAGAAGCATGGGCCGGGAGCGCGCTTGAGTTCTGCTGCAAATCTCACATGATTTGAAAATATATGTTGATTTGTAATGTTAATGAAGTTGTACAGTAGTATAGGGGATGTATAGGCAAAGATCAGGATTTTTGGTTTTGGTGGCCAAAAAATGATCCCCATGTTATTCTTATGGGGAAAAACGCCCCAAGTGCCTTAATATTCTTCTATTGCCACTACTTTCACCTAAAAGGTTGAGAGTTCCTTTCATTTGTTCGGCATCATTTATCTTCTCAGCAAAGCTGAACAAGTCGGTGTCTCCGGTTACATCGACCTGCTGATAATAGTCTCGAGGTGTGGTGCCTGCCTTTTGTTGCAATACACTTCCTACAGCATAGTCTGATGAATCGCAGAAGATTGCAAGTGAGGCATTCGGTGCAGGGTGAGACAACATAACGGCTTCACTGAGGCTTTTTTTACAATTTTCAAAAGCTTGTTCACTTTCTGTAGTCCAATTAATAGGCATATTACCTTTTAGATTGGCTTTCAGAAGGTCATTTAGTGTGCTCTGCTGGGACGCTGAATGGGGTAGGAATCTACGATAAAAGATTAGCATACCAGTGAATCTTCTTAATTCCTTTGCAGTCTTTGGTTTGGGGTAACAGTCAAGAGCTTTCACTTTTTCAGGTAAGGGATCCCTTCTCCGAAAACTTGATATCCGAGAAAACTAATCATGGGAACACCTAGGTTGCACTTACTTGGGTTGACAAAGACACCGAAAGAGGATAGGCGGTAAAACAATTGTCGTAAGTGAATGAGGTGTTGTTCTTCGGATTCTGAAGCTACGAAAATGTCATTAATGTAAGCGTAACGAAGTCTAGGCCACTGAGTACACCATCAATAAAACGTTGAAAGGTTTGGGCAGCATTGCAAAGTCCAAAAGACATGAAAGGAAATTCGAAAAGACCAAAAGGTGTTGTTATAGCAGTCTTATGAAAGTCATCAGGAGCTACAGGGATCTGATGGTAAGCACGAACCAGATCTATAGTAGAGAAAACTTTTTTACCATGCAAATTTAGAGAAAATTCCTGAATGTGAGGAATAGGGTAGCGATCAGAAATGGTTCTGGCATTTAGGGCTCTGTAGTCTCCACATGGTCTCCATTCGTCTCCTTTTTTAGGAACCATATGAAGAGGAACCATTCTAAAAGTTTCCACCAACGTTTCAAAGAACATCTCCCCAAAAAGAACTCAGCCAGCTCATCAACCTATTCCGAACATCTAATTTCAGAAAACCATCCCTACACCTCAAAAGATACCAACTTAGAAATCCTGCATAAAGCCCCCAAAAGCAACAAGCTAAATACAATAGAACATTTTTATATATATAACGCTACCAAAACTGACTCATCCCTCATACTAAATGACCAAAAAAACTTCGCCGCCAACATCATGTTTGATTCATTAATTGATATAAGAAATAAATAACATAGTACAATATTATCAAACACCTGCTTGCCAACATATACATAACTCTATGGAGTGATAAGACCAGGCTGCTAGAATCGAAAGTCATCACATCCCAACCTCGGAGGTTATGTTTGATAAAGATCATGGCCATGCATCTACGTTGTTTTTGTCTTTGTAAATATTTATATGTGTTAAATGTTTGTACAAAATATACTAAATCGACAATGTCTCAAGTATGTCTCTTAAGCGGGGTACACACTACACGTGCATTGCACGCCGTGCCAAAAACTGACGAAACGTGCAAGTGTGTGGTGAACACCGTGCAAGCACGGCGTGCATTGGCATGGCACGGTGGAAATCAAGACGAGTTTGATTTTCGGCGTGCCGTGCCAATGCACGCCGTGCAGACGTGCTAATGTGTACTCAGTACCGCGCCACGTGCCTGTAGATCAACAACTGTTGAGGTTATGTTTGACACTAGATTAGTTCTGTAGTCCGTGAGTTTCTTGTTTTGTTGTTGGTATGATTTATTTGAAATGAGTGACTCGACGACATTTTTGTCACCACATTTCTTGCCGTTATTTATTGATGCTTATCGCAGTCATCCTTGTTTGTGGAGAGTTAAGTCGAAGGAATATTCAAATAAACATCTAAAACAAAGTGCCTACCAAGACCTCGTGGAGTTGGGTAAACCAATCGTAGGTGAGTGCAATGTCGACTACATTAAGAAGAAAATTGAGCTGATTAGAGGGAACTTCCGGAGGGAGCATAAGAAAGTAAAAGCTTGCAAGAAGTCAGGAAGCGGTGCAGAATCGGTGCATGTACCTAAACTGTGGTATTACAAACTGCTCCTATTTTTAACCGATCAGGAAGAAGTGCATGAATCCACATCGTCTATGGACCCCCCTGAACATAATGAAGATCTGGACGACACAGAAAATCTACTTGAGGAAAGCGATCTCCCAGATGAAGAGGTAAGTTTCACATGTATGTCTCTCACCATGATGAGGGTAGTATCTCCTAAAAGGGGTTATTGCTCATAGAGAATAAATAATGTTATATTAACTGGATTATTGTGTTGATTAGCTTTACGTTTCATTACCTTGATGGGAACCTTAACCCTCTAACTGCCACATGAAAAAGGCAAAGCAGCATTTTATATGAAACACTATAAAATATTAAAAAAATATTGTACATGTATGAATAACGAAATTACTTTCTATAAAATATACACATTTATAAAAGACATAAATATTTATTGTGGTGATTATTTCCCATTGAAAACTCTTACTTTATTTCATGTCCAATTTTATTGCCTTTAATAATTTTTTTACTTTTACTACATTTCTTGATAACACATTTATATGGGTTTTTCTTTAAAAATTTTAATGCAAAATCGTATACTTTATTGTTTTTGGGTCATAGCTTTGTAAATTAAATGGTAGGCCTAATTGAAAATTTTTACACTTCCATTTAGGAAAACAAATTCTTAACATTTTGGCCTATATCTTGACTTTTACATTACACTTTTTGGTTTATGCAACACAGTTTTACTTTCAAAATTTCGAACTAAAAAAAAAATTGTTAATTTTATCTTCAACACTATAGGCCTACGTGGTTAATTATCACAACATGGTTGGGAAAAAAACATTTTATTGACACAGTTAGTTGTTTATTAATTTTAACAATAGCCCTCGCTAACTACTCTGTCCTGCCAAGATACTTGTCCGATTGTGGTAAAATATCTTGTGTATGCATCTCTCACTTCTTTTGCCCGTAACGATGCGTGGCGTTGTGAGCTTGATCTCAGGTCTTGAAAAGCATTTGCAGGTGTAGGGGTTTTCCTCCAATCTCCAGGGATTACAAAGTTTGTCACAGGATCTTCGATGTCAACTTCGTACGGTGTAATGTAACTTTTCCCACATCTCCTTCGTAAAAGGTTGTGCAACACAACACATGCCAACACAATATGATCAACTTTCTTTGTTCCCAAAGTAATTGTTGTATGAAATATTCTAAATTTACTAGCTAAGAGACCGAAGGCGTTTTCTACAACCCTTCGTGCTCTGGACAAACGGTAGTTAAAAATCCTCTGATCATACGTTAATCCTTTTTGTGGAAATGGCTTCAAGAAATCTTCTCGCAGTGCAAAAGCTTCGTCACCAACAAAGACGTAATTGAGGTTTGCTATAGTTTCTTCATTTTTTGGAAGACTGAGATCCCCACTTTTAAGTCTCTTATAAAACGTCGTGTTTTCTATTACACCACCATCAGAGACTCTTCCATTTTGTCCTACATCTGCGTAAATGAAATCCAAATTAGCATCAACTATGGCCATTAGGACAATGCTAAAGTAGCCCTTATAGTTGTAGTAGTATGATCCGCTGTTTGGTGGCTTCACAATAGCTATGTGTTTGCCGTCAACAGCTCCACCGCAGTTCGGGAAATTCCAAAGTGAATTAAAACCACTAGCAATATCATTCCATTCTGCCACCGTTGAGGGTACCTACAAAAAATTCAAATGCATTGGTTCAATGATAAATTATAGTTAATTAAATTATTATATACAGTCTGTAAAAACATATCCTAAAATTAATACTTACCAAACCACCCACAGCTATTATTGAACACCAAATAATTAGTGCCTCCAATCAAACGGGCTCTTTTTCAAGCTTGACATTAGCCTTTGGACCAAATAAAGGCAATAAAAAGTCACTAGGTTTCGATTTTTAATTTTAAATGGCATGAATGGAATTTAATTATTTGGTTTTAAAATAAAAATTGTTTTTTTAAATATTGTTTATCAAACAATCTTTGAAGTTTTCAACTTTTAAAACCAAAGCTTTAAGATGTTTGTGCAAATAAAGTTTATATCTATATACAACTGATAACATCCATTTTTCAGGGTGATATCATTCAAGAACAATCCCCAGTTCAATCTGAAAATCCATCGGAGAAACGAAAAAAAAGATCTAGGACAAACGCTGAAGACAACACAGCCACTACTGATTGTCTTCAACAAGCTGTGTCCATTTTGCAGAGACAAGAAGATGAATACGAGAAATTTGCTGGAAATGTAGCAGCCAAGCTCCGTAAAATGGACGCCAAACAGTGTATGTTTGCTGAAAACGTCATAAATCAAACCTTATTTCAAGGATTGATGGGTAAACTTCAAGAAGATTCATATATCTACAACCCACAACCTCTGGTCGTCACACCTAGCACCTCTTCCATGGGTGACAGGAGCAGTGGAAGAAATACACCATATACCAACCAACACGAACAAGCGAATGAATTTCCTTCGATGCATACTATTTTTGGATTTGTAAATCAATAAGACTAATCTCATAAATAGAAATCATGTTTGGCTGATACATTAAGCGCTTGAATAAATTCTAGATTGCTTAACCAGACGAGTACTTTTTACATGCATTTTCTTACCTTTAAATACTCATCCCTCAGTACATCATATATAGCTTTGCAGGTTTCTGGTATGATGGTGCCAAGTGCCTGTGGGAAAATTATTGTTGAAAACTTCATGTCTTGAAGTGTCCTCCCTGTAGCTAAGAATCTAAGTGTAGCTACAAGTCGTTGTTCCGCAGTTATGGCCTTCCCCAGCTTAGTGTCTTGCCTCTCAATACGAGGCCGAACCTTCTCCAATAAGTAGGCAAATGTGGCATCATCCATGCGCAAATAATTCCTGTAGTCGTTGGGGTTGTTTTCACGCAGCTCTTTTAGTAACCTCATGTCAGAATACTTATCCCTCTGTTTTAACCAGTTTTTTGTCCACAATAACCTCCTATTTCGATGTTTCTTTCTTCTCTCTTCATCAATTGCACTTATCACTATCAGTGACAGAGCTTGCTTCTGCACTAAAGTCATCACTTTTTTAATAGCAAAAGTCTATCAAAATATATGCACAGACACATACGAGCACAGATCACAAAATACACAGAAATATGACCAAATATCGGTGTGACAACAGCACGTCGCAGGCTGAACTGAAACTCAGGTGTGTGGGGAACAACGTGCCGTGCCAATAAAAAAATGGCACGGCGTGCAATGCACGTGTAGTGTGTACCCCGCTTTATTAGACGAGGCAGCCAAGTTGCGCAACCAGCCGGGCAGCCAGTCGCCTGTCTGGCTGCCTAGCGTAGCAACCAGTAGAGCAGCCAGTAGAGCAGCCACAAAATTACCAACTAGGCCAGTGTCTTGTTGACAGTGGAACAGTTCTGTTGGGGAGAGACGCTGTCAGAATGCGAGATGAATATTTGCTTCTTCTGCTACTCATGAAAAAGAGAAGACGAAGGAAGAGGAGAATGCAAATACATCCTATTCTTTCATCAAGAACAGAAAAAGGATTATATTACACCCTTTTTGACGAACTTTGCGCAGATGATAATGAGATGAACGAACTTCCACGAGTGAACTGGTGTGTTTCCACTACTACTGATGTGTGGCAGCGGGCGACTGGCTGCCCAGTGTAATAAGATCCGTAAGCTACACAGGAGCGCGACCAGACCGAGCAGCCAGTGGTTGCCTGTGCGGTCGCCGGGCTCGGCAACCAGCCGGCAGCCAAACAGTGGCTGCGCAACTGGCTGCCCTCGTGTAATAAGCTCCATAAGAACCAATGCCCAGTGACTGGCTGGCCGACTAGCTGCCCGGCTGGCTGCGTAACTTGGCTGCCTCGTCTAATAAGGGCCTAAGAGATGGCAAACAAAATGTTAAGAAAGCCTATGAGACAAAGGACTGACGATAACGTTTCGACGTAGAAACCTAGGTCTCCACTTTAATAAATTGGATCGTAAGGTAAGCCTTATATTTAATCAAATAGAAACTCTCTTTCAAACAGAAAAGTTAATGAGAGATTAGAGACGTTTAGTGTTGTAAGCTATTAAACCTATTTTACAAACTTTGTTGTGTGTAGTGAACTTGATTTTATGCCATAAGAGGTTTCGTACAAAATATAAAACAAATCCATTAACGTGTGGTAGTAATTTATTTCCCAACAATAAGCCTACTTCTTGAAAATTGTCTTAAAAAGATAACTTCTAATAACAGGTATCTCTGTTCCTTGAGGCTTTTGATGCTAGAAACAAGTTGTTATTTTGAGACATACCTGATTTCAACATTAGCAAACCAGTTTTAATACCACGTATGTCTTAAAACTAACTTCTAATAACACACATCTCAATCAAAGCAAAATAAAAACTATATGGTATTAATTTTTGCTGCGTTCAGTTCAGAATCAATTAATAATAAGTTGTTTGAGTGTTATAACGTAACTTGTTATTTTATTTTTGTGGAAAATACAATATGAGACAGTTTTTTTTTTTCTAAAAAGTAGCTCATTTTGAGTTACGTGGTATTAGAATTAAGTCATCGTTATGTTATTGTATTATCATTGTTATTTACCATTGTTATTATCATTGTTATTATCATTGTTATTGTTAATTACCATAATAATATTATATTTATACAACGTAGGAAACGTATAACGATTAGTTTAAAGGCTGGATTTATTTCGCCAGAGACGGATGCATAGAAATGCCAGGGAGGATTGAACCTGACAAGCCAATTTTCCGCCACGAAACTCAACATTCCCAACGATCTTCTAGCTTTTTATTCCTGGTCCTACATCCTTCCCATAACGATGATGATCAAATAGTACAGTATATATTACTTACTGGTAGAAACAATGACCGTAATCGCAGTAACATTCAAAGTCGACGACTAACGTAGTTTTTATCACCGTTTTATGATATTTACACTCTACGATAAGCATAAGAATGCTTATTTCGCTACACTACTCCGGAAATCACCTGTTTCCGTTATATCTTCATCACCTGCAAAAATCATCATTACATAGTTTACCACGCAAAAGTACAGTTGAAAATGCGAAAGTAATGTTTACTAACTTTTTTGGTTTTTGTTGACATAAAAAAAAACATTTGTTATAATTAAATTTTCAACGACCAAAACTGTACAATATAAATTTGAACTAAAAAAAAGGACTCATCTAAAAAAAAATTATTAGTTTTTATATGTTCCTAACATTATGAAGACATTCTAAGGAAATGTTCCAATGTATATTTTTACTTTAAAAATAATCGTTCTTTGTAGTGTAGCAAAAAGTAACGTTAAAAACGAGAAAGTTTGTCATACATATTCTCGACAATGTTTAAAGTCCTCGACAATTCTCGCACTTTTAACATAGAGTTTCAAATTTGTAATAACTCACTTAACTCTTTTTATGAAATATACTTAACTACAATTGTTCTTCTCCCGGAATGGAAACGACAGTACCGGATATACTCAGGAAACGATCGGAAAACCTCGGGTTCCGGTGCGTAAATGTCATATCTGATAGTAATTCAAAATCTTTCGACCATATACTCTCTAAATGTGTATGGTGAGGGTGCAAAATTTGAGAAACATGAATGTATTAATCATGTCGCGAAGCGCTTCGCAATCTTGTGCAATCTTCTATCTTTTGATTGCAGTAAAATGAAAGAAAAAGTAACTGTCGGGGGCAAATCTTATGGCAGCCTAAAAGGAAAAACTATAGATAAGCTTGTTCAAAACTACAGAAATGCCATGATAAATAATTTATAGGATGCCAGTAAAATGAGAAAAGCAGTATTTGCCACTCTGGACCACTGCAGATCCACTGGTAAACCGTACCACAACAATTGCCTTGTAGGATGTGAAAGCTGGTGTTTCTACCAAAGGGATTTGAGCAATAAAGTCGCTCAGAGGCCATAAAAACACCTATAAATGAGAAGGTTTACAGCCATGTACTGCCAATCTACAAACGACTGACTCAAGAACAGCTCCTTCAGCGATGCTCGTTGGGTAAAACCCAAAACGCAAATGAATCGCTACACAATGTAATTTGGAACAAATGCCCTCAAGTAAATTTTTCTGCCACAAGAAGGGTTGAAGCAGCAGTTGGAGAGACAATCCATGAAGGCTATCACATAACAAGACGAGGATTCACATCGCTGAACTATTGGACATTCCAATTTATGGGCAACCAACATTTCCTCAGCAGTTTTGGCAGCGAAATCGTTAAAATGAGTAAAGCAACGTTTACATACTTTGATTTTATGCACTCTTTTTGTAAACTGTGAATTAACCAATTTATCAAAATCTGTTATCAAAGCAATAATGTGATGTATTAAGATATGTGACGTACAATAAATCAAAATGGTTTTCCTTCTCCTCTTCACAGACCTTTAACGGGTAAACATCAGCCTGCTCAGTTAATCTAAATACATTTACAGATACATCATTTGCTTTTTCAAATTTGTTTATCTTATCAAGTTTCACAGGGAATGAGATACAGTTCCAATCATATTTATCTTCAAGCTCCTTGTTATTAATGTATTGACACACTTCCCACGGTTTGTTAGTAACATGTTTTGACAGGATCGCATATTTGAAACAAAATTCAAAATTTCTAATGTTAATTACAGCTTTAAAAAGTGGTAAAAAATGCAGACACCAACCCACAATATACATACAATAGATATAAGATAATTCAATAAGAAATAATTTTAACAGTTATTATAATATTAAGATTTCCCATCGATTTGGTAATTGAACGTTAAATTATAAAAACATGGCACGATCCAGAACAAAATAAATTTTAAAATCAGAGAATTATATTGCTTTTTGACAAACTCAGTAACTTCCTATAATATGTGTTGTTTAAAATAGAATTTAGGTATTAAAAGCTGTTTATTAAAAAGTAGTGAAAAATTATCCATATGTCGATAATGTGATAATGTAAACAAATCTGGAAAGGGAACTTTAAAGGCTTCTGGGGCAGAGCCCTAAGGGAATTTACTTATTTTCTTTCTATTGATGGTACATCTACAGTCCAAGACCTTTCTTTAGACACCTCTACTAAGTTCCTATGCCCAGCAGTTCTCTCAAATTAATGGAGATAAAGTTTCCAATTAAATATTTAGATTCCCCCATGTTAATCTTATGGGAGATCCTGCCTAAACTAATTAAGATTTCAAAAAATGAAAATCACTTTGCAAAACTACAGATTAGGGCAATTTTTTTTTTGCTATGTATATGGTCATTGTGCGGAAATCCACAGTTCAGGAGAAGAGATCCAGAGAAAGGAATTCTTCCAGTTGTCTGCTTTATGTGGGCTGTTGTCACAAGTTATAGAAAAACATTTTATTAAATATAATTGGTAGGCCTATTCATTTAGGTAGTAGATTTAACTAAACTGAGCACCCTGGAATTTTTGCAATTTCTTGAAAGAATATTTACATTTTCAAACTTCAACCAATAGTAAGTATTTAAATTGTTGTTTAT